TAGTTTCTGATGGTGCGTTTTATGTCAGTCAATAGTTTCTGATGGTGCGTTTTATGTCAGTCAAAAGTCTGTGGTGGTGCATTTGGTGTCAGTGAGTAATTTTTGATGGTGTGTTTGATGTCAGTAGTTTCTGATGGTGCGTTTTATGTCAGTCAATAGTTTCTGATGATGCGTTTGATGTCAGTCAAAAGTCTGTGGTAGTGCATTTGAAGTCAGTCAGTAGTTACTTGTGGCGCATTTGATGTCGGATGTAGTTTCTAATGGTGCGTTTGGTATTGTGATGTTGCACAGACCCATGTTGCAAGGATCTGTACACAAGTCCTGGAAACTGAAAACTTCCCAGTTCTTGCGTGCTCACCGGACATGTCACCTGTTGAGCATGTTTGGGATGTTCTAGATCGGCGTATACGACGTTGTGTTCCAGTTCCTGACAATATCTAACAACTACTCACAACCATTGAAGAGGAGTGGACCAACGTTCCACAGACCACAATCAACAACCTGATCTGCGTGTGGTAAAAGGCGGTCACACCAGAAACTGACTGGTTTTCAAATACCCCCCGGGCCCCCACCCAGTACAGTAAAGCTGCACATGTTAGAGTGGCCTTTTATTGTGGTCAGCCTAAGGCACACCTGTACAATAATCATGCTATCTAATCAGCATCTTGATATGCCACACCTGTGAGAAGGATAGATTAACTCGGGAAAGGAGAGGTGCTCACTACCACAGATTTACATGAATGTGTGAACAATATTTGAGAGAAAAAGACCTTTTGTGTACGTAGAAAAAGTCTTAGATGTGTGAGTTCAGCTCATGAAAAATGGGAGCAAAAACAAAAGTGGTACGTTTATATTTTTGTTGTGTAGTTTCTTGTGGTGTGTTTAATGTCAGTCAATAAATTAGATGTTTAATGTCAAGATTATCCCCGTGGCTCAGAGTGTCTTTGTTCAGCATGTGTGGACCAGCAGGACACAAAGTACGTAAATCAGTTAAAAGAAGAGCTGGAAATTAGAAAACGGGTTCCAGATGGAACAGTTTGGACTGGTTCCCGATGAGCTGAGATCAAGAACATTTCAACTGAATGCAGGAATTTAAATTCATTTGAAGTGTTTGTGAAATGTCTTCCTTACTCCTCAAAGGGTAAACGCTGGTTATCCCTCTCGGAGGACTATATTTCAGATGTTTGTCTGGCTGCAGGTCAAACTTGAACCAAATATTTACGTTTACTTACTGTAGCCTCTTCACTCAGTGTCTGCATCATTTTCCACTTTTGACCTCAGTCCAAATAGGATTCATAATGGTTCAGTGAAACCTAGTGAGCTTCTCCATCTGTGAGTCTAACTGCAGCTGGTGAATGATGAGGACACTCACCTCGAAATCCAGAAGAGTTGGAGTGTAGAGAGTGAGATTGACATCCGTCTGCAGAGAAACACACAGTTAGATCAACCCAGACATCCAGACTCATTTACACATTTATTTTTATATTAGTATAAATTTTCAGGATCCAGTGTGTTTGTCAGTTTAAAATGGAAAAGTCTTTTTAGCTTTCTTTTGACATCCATCCGTTTTAGATTCAACCAAAACTTAAAATACAAGATGCTGAAAGACTCACACCAAGACAAGGTAAAAAAAAAAAGGTAAGTGGTTTATTTACAAAGGGGAAGAGGTAAGAGCTGGAACGGGAGGATCTGCAGAAGAGGACCAGAGGTAAGTGAAGATATTGTTTGAATGAGTAGTTTAATGTCTTGAGACTAAAATATATCCTTACTAGATTTGTTTGGGGTTTCAGGCTTTGGGTGGCACTGTCAGGCTGTGGTTCTGTGCTCACAGGTGAGGATGTCCAGGCAAGGAGGTGAGTGGGTGCTGCGGTGAGAGAACAGGAAGGCAGACATAGTCCAATAACCAAGTCTTTTACTGAACTGCAGATGAGGCAGATTTGGAGCTAACAAGGAATGCCAGAGAACATCAAGGAAACCAAGAAGCCCAGGAACAAGAGACGCCGGTAAGTATTAGAATTCAAGTGTTCACACAAGGCATGAGGACAGAGGGTTTAATCACCATCAGTGACAAACGATCGACCAGAGACTTGTGGGAAGGCTCAGTATTAAGAAGGGTAGACTGCTGATGAGCTAATTGAAATCAGCTGTGCTCACTCTGCTTCCACATCACCTGTAATGACATCCAGGAGAGAAGAGAGGGAACCAAACACACCTAACAGTAACAGATGAGGCCTTCTGAGGCTGTCGTCTGTCCTTTCCCTGATCTCTCTTTGCTGCCAACTCCTCGTGTCTCACCTCCTCTGCCTTCTAGAAGCCCTGCCTGACATTCAGGTGCCAGGCTGCATGGTTGTCGGCACTGCTTCCACAAGTATTGATGTTGATACTACACAACTTCATGTCTCTCTTGCAGACATCTTTAAAGCATATGAATGTTTATACGGCAGTTAGAGAGCCTGTTGCTAACACTGCACAGGAGAACCTTGGGAATGAAACATGCATCTATTCTGCATGGCTCAGCCATCGTAGGTGCCTTCCTCTGAGAATGGCGAACACGCTGTTCATGTTGACACGTTCCATGCCCTCTGCATTGGGCACCTGATCCTGTCCCTGGATGTGCAGGATACACCCGAGTAACCTCAGATGGAAGCTGTTGAGCTCTTCTCATGATTTGCATATGTGGTCCATGCTTTGAAGCTGTAGAGGAGAATGCTGAGGACGCAGGGCTGGTGTACGTACAGTTTGTTTTTTTCCGTGAGAGTGGAAATGAACCACACTCTGGCTGAATCTGGCCATACCTGCTGCTGTCTTAGCAATCGTGTTGTTAACCTCTGCATCAACAGAGAGTGAGTTGGAGACAGTGGACCTGATACTCTTCACAACTTCCATGCTCGTCCCATCTAGGTAATGTTTGGAGGAGTGTCTGTGCCCTGCACCATGATGTTTGTCTTTTTTAGACAGATGGTCAGCCCAAATATCTTGCTGGCATGGGGGAGACCAGTAACAAGCTGCTGTTTGCAGAGAGTGATGTCAGGGCAGCATTGTCTGTAAATATCAAAGTACCTCTATGAATTTTGTCTTGGCACAAAGGCGGGCAATTGTAAATTGTAGATGTACACACCCTCGCTGCAGTCCTTAAAGGCGTACTGAGTGAGCATGGAGAAGATGATGCCAAAAATCAATGATGCAAGGACGAACATGCTTTATTCCACTACTGACTGGGAAGAGTTCAGATGTTGAACCATTAAAGCAAGCTGTTGTTTATATCTTCATGAAATGAAATGATAACTGCAAGGAGCCGAGGAGGCAACCAATCTTTTACAGTAGCCAGAAGAGTCTGTTCCAGTTGATGAGGTCAACCGTCTTTGTAAGGTCAGTGAAGGTGATGTAGAGTTGCATCTGCTGCCCTTAGCACTTCTTCTGCACCTGGCGTAGTGAGATCACGTCCACTGCTGAATGGCCAATTTGAAAGCTAATCTAAAACTTTGGATAGACTCGGTGGCCTAAGGTCTGGAGATGTGCCAGGACAGCACAAGCCAAAGTTTTTCTGACTATGCTGAAGAGGACAATACCCCGACAATTGTCACTATGATCATTCTTGTTCTTGTACGATGTTCACTTCTCACATATCCCATGTGGGATGTGTCCTTGTTCTCAGCAGAGGTAGAACAGTTCATGCAGGGGTTGAGGTGGATGGTATCGTTCTCGGGGCCTTCCCAGGTTTAACTGTCAAGTTTAAGCCCGTTTAAACCTGCATTAATTTTATTAGCCTGTGTTAGCATATATTAGCTTGTGTTAGTTTCTTGCTTTAACCCATGTTAGCCTGTATTTGTCAGTGTTAGCTTGTGGTAAATTTTCATTTGCTATTTGTTCAGAGTTTTTGTTGATAGTAGTATTTTCCATATTTAATTCCAAGTTTTAACACGACTCAAAATTGGTCGTTTTAATACTTAGTTTTCATTTCTCTTCTGCTTTTAGATTTTGTAAGATTTTAGCAGGAACACTGTTGTTTAATTTAGGGTTTTATGTGTTGTGGTTTATTCGAGTTGATGTTGAATTTAACAACCATCTCAGAGTGAAAACATGTTCCAATTATTCTGTCAGAAATAAGTAAAAGGGAGGGAAAGATGTTTTATTGATGCTGACTGACTTGTTTAAATACCTGATGTGTTTCTGAACACATAAAAGCTGCAACTTCAGAAGGAAATTATGGACTTTTACAGTATCTGATAAATTTACAACTGACATGTTGATTTACAGTAAGTGATTCCTCATTATTTACTGGTCTGTTTTTTGACTCATGTATCCTGAACAACGCTGAATCCCTTCGGTATGTTCCAGCATATGGTATCCATTCTCATTTTTTACCATAAAAGTCCTGCTGAGGCAGGACATTTCTGCCAAAATACGTTTTATTTAAATCTGGCACACCACCAATAATTAGAAATAAACCCATTCACTAAAATTTGTTTTTGTTCTCTTTGGGACTTTTGGGACCAAACCATGATTCACATGAAATTTTAAGGTCCAGGTTGCTCCAGGAATACGTTATTCATAAACCCACTCCCACCTTCTGGAATATGTGCCTCTATTGGTCATGAGAGCAACTCTGTAAGGAAGTACTCACTGAATATACAATTGATTAACTTTTGGAGTTATTATTCCATTCAAGATGGCCGCTGCAGCTAATTAGCATTAGCCAATACAGTAATTATAATCACTTTTAACTTCACAATCACTGCCTACTTGCTATTGTAACAGATGGAAGATGTTATGAAATTATATTTGTGCCACATAGTTGCACATAGTAAAACTGATGTGCACATGAACCTTCCTTTGAGCCAACATGTCTTGTGCACTCAACATACTAAAACTGTGTTTGTGGTGGGCCATTTTTCTAAAATAATCATATATCCCACTGCTTTCTATGCTATTTGTTCAATGTTTGCATTTCTTCTGGATGCAAGACCATTTTCCAACAACAAAATTGAAACTATAAATATCTGCAGTCACTTTATTAAGTTAATAATGGATGGATATGTGCAATTCCCATTGTACAAAAAATGTAATCAAAATATTTTAAAAGTATAATTGTATAGTCTAATTATTTCTGCAGATATTATTCCGTTCTTCCTGGTCAAATGAACAGGATGTTTTCATTCCTATCAGAAATCAAACATTTTTCAGAGGATGGATGACTTTTCCTGCTCCCATAAGGAGTTACATGAGATGGTTAGACTCTGACTTTGTGACTTTGTTCAGACATTTTAAGCTCAGACTCACAGTTTCAGGTCCTCTGATGAGATGTTTTTGTAAAAGAGCAGGATGTTCAGAAAGTATCAGATGGTTTGAGGTTTTTGCTTCTTTTCCTAGAAATGAAAGTGATATGTGTTGGAAACTTGTCCCTGCATGATTTTACTTTGTCACTCTTAGCTGACAAAATATTTTCGCTTCATATTCTTTTGTCAGATCAGATATTTGTGCAAGAGGAAACATATCCAAACAGGCCCGATGCCTGGAGTCAGTTTCAGAATTTTACAACCGCACTTCTGTTTACGCTTGTTTCTAGATAAATCAAAAAGAAAATTAAGAAGATGTTGGATTTAAGGAAACAGAGCAGATCCTGCCTTACTTGTAAAAAATTTGGACTGCTAGCACCACAGCAGTGGTTCAAAATTCTCAACAATGACTGTACTTTTTAAGACTACTCAACAGGGCTAACATAAAGAAGTCTGTTGGTGACTTATTATCATTCCACCTTCTTAAGCGTGCTGATCTACATCACGGTACGGTTTGCAGACTGTTCGGCTGCTGACCAGAAAACCCCAAATAGAGACATCAGGACAGCAGAGAAAATTATTGGCTGTTCCCTGTCCTCTATGGAGGACATAACCTCCTCTGTGTGTCTCAGCAAGGCCAGGAGCATTACAAAGGACAGTGCACATCCCGCTAATGGTCTGAGCTGTTTCTCCAGCCTTCTAAAAGTTTCTACAAGAGCCTGAAAAGTAAGACAAATAGACTAAAAATGTTTCTGTCCATGGGCTGTCAGATCACTAAGTGCTAAGTAAATTTAATTTAAATTGTTTATTTGAATATCCATACTGTCTCCTCTGTGAATATCCACCTTATTGTGGAGGAGGAGTTTGTGTGCCTGAATAATCCAAGGATCTATGCTGTCTGGGGTAATTGTCCCTGGTATGGTCTCTCAAGACAGATAGGTTCTAGGTGACAAGACAGACAAAGAGGGATTCAGAATGCTCGTTTGGACAGCAAAGAACAAGAAGCTTAATGTCTTTCACCTGGACATGGGTTACCAGGGCCCCACCCTAGAGTCAGGCCTGGGGTAGGGGGTCATTGGCAAGTGCCTGGTGACTGGGCTTCTACCCATGGGACATGAAAGAGTTGCATGGGAGGTAGTGAGCC